GCCGAAACAGCATTCTCGCTTAGGACGGCACCGCAGTCGAGGCATATCATGTCACCCCTTGCGGGATCCTCATCAAACTTCGTACCACCACATTGAGAACACTTCATCCTCCGGTTGTCGAATACACACTACTGTAAGGCGATTGGTTGGGTTTCCAAAGGCGGATAGTTTGCCTAAATAATTAAGTAGTAAAACAAGGTTCCAAGTTCGTCTTGTTGGATGACGTTATGTATTCATTGTGTGTGCACTTCAAATGTTGCCTGCAACCTTTCTGAGAAAGCTAGTTGTGGCGCTTGAGCGTCTCAATTCAGTTCGTGTGTCCGAGCGTTTTTGGTCGTCGATTTTATGAATTGCATTTTAGACTGCTTTACCCCAGCGACCAGTAAGGACAGCTGGTACACTCATCGACCACGAGAGAAAAAACGATAATTATTATGTTTATGCGCATGTAAAAAAGATGTGCTTCGTTCTAATCTTCTATTAACTGCAAGCTCGGATATTACGCCCTCTACATCACCATGCTCGTGAACATATAGTACCTGCCCACGCATATTTTTACAGAAGAGATAAGTTATTAATGACAGAATTTTTTTCCATAAAAGAGACACATAAAGGTATGACAGGGTAAGAAAGTGATAGTGTTCGTTTATGTTCAAGTAAGGATCTCCCACGCGGTCATCGAAACCCTAAAATGAAAATCACATGAGCACTGTAGGAGAAATGAGTTAATTATTATCCATTTAAAGAAAGTGCTCTGGAATTCATGCCGCATGACCAAAGGACTCCAACGAAAGTAAAATCGCAAGCCCATTTAGCTGATTTAGATCCACATGTTAGTATAAGCACTGGTTGTAATATGCACGACTGCTATTCTAGATATTCTATAGAATAGCATACGGCCAAACGGACCAAAAGTCTTATAAAATTAATAGATGTCAATTATAAAAAGAAGCCCGCATAGTATGCTATGAAGTTCTTAAAAAATTTTCGAAAGTTGAGAAGGAGATGCTTTGTCTACTAACTGACATGAAGTAGAAAAACCTGCTTGCCTTTTCCCTAGAGAGGAGAAATCTGCAATTAGTGAATTTGCAGTAAGGCAAACATACGTGAATA